CATACATACACACTATTTTTCGACACCTCGGTTTTGAAGGGGCACAGTAATGCCACGCAGAAAAAATCCTCCTAAAACCCAGGGTAGCCCCACTTCGTCAGTTCACTGAATTTTCCACATAGCACTGTATTAGGGGGAAGAACGTATCACTTCAGATAAATCAAATGCAAACAGGACGCCAAGATCTAAGGCACAGATGGAAACATTCTAGGAAGTCTCCCTTCCTGGAAAGCTTCCCGAGGGGTCTAGAAAATCATGGAAGACCATACCGCTCAGGTCAATTGGTATTAATTAAGAATCCTTTGGTTTTGTGCAGAGCTTAGACTGTCCAGATGAAGCATGTTTTTGCCTCTTGTTCCTGCTACTCATTAAATTCCTTCAATTCTAGTTTACTCCTGGACTTTCACCACTTATTCCTCCCACTAACATGGAGCATCACACAAGCCTAGAAACCAGATCAGATAATGCACAAGTTCTCCAAAATCTGTGTTTAGGGTAGGGGCCATCTACAATACACGGATCGATAGAATTCAAGGTCAGAAGGAGCCACTAGACCATCTCAGTTTGACTTTGTGCGTATCACAGGCCATAAATATTTTATCCAGCCACGCCGATACTGAGTGAGGTATGTTGGATTTGACTGAACATGACTTGTATTCAGTTACATGGGGATTCTGAAGTTTAGCACCAATGCACTGAAGACAGATGGGCATCATCTGTAATTCTGTGCGGAATATAGGCACCGTGTGTTTTGCTTGCGTTAAGTATACTTTGGTGACACTGAGGAACTTAGACCACTTCAGCTAGAGGAAAAAATTGTTACCAAACATGTTTTGCTTAAAGAAATATAGTATTTAGACTCCTCAGTGGGTGAGAAAGACAGAATACGAAGTTCAAATATAAACCAAAGTGAAAAACTATGCAGGAGTTAATACGTACATGGTCAATCTCTTTTCATATCACTCATCAGTACTTCTACTGTGTAGATGCGAGACATAATACAGCTTGTTCCTCCTGTGTTTCCAAGTGAACTGAAATCACACCCCTCACAAGGCTGACTGATAAAAGAAAAGAATTATGGTGACAAAAATACACTGAATCACTGCTTCAAAGAGCAGCCACATCGTTTCTGGTAATGGCACTATGTGGAAAGTATCTTTTCCCTTTTCCTTCCCCCCTCCTACGCTTCTGCCTAAGTAAGCAATCTTTGATTTTTAAGCTTTTTTTTCTTTACTATGTTAAGATTTGCAGTCTTTTAATAGTGCTATGAGCTCGCTTCTCCACCGCAAGTTATTAAAATAAGCACTTTCCCTCCAATTGTAACCAACTCAGTGCAATGAGCATGATGGTTTTTCCATCCACAACCAGAAATAAACAAAATGGACAAAATTTCTAGCAGTTCAGTCATACTACCCCCTCCTATTCCTTTAAGGTCCCTTTCAGCTTCCACATCCATTTGGTTTGACCCGAGAGGTCAGGATTTAACCTTAGAAGTCGTCAGACTTCCCTGGGCTTTCAATTATGCTTGCAGTGCACTTTGCTTGTTGAGCCAAAACTCGAATGTCACTGATACTAGTAATTGTAAAAATCGAGGAGAATCACTGCCCGACAAGCAGGAGACCACACTGCAGGGGAGGCATTACAGAATCTGTTCATCTGAAAAGTACAGCAAAAATACAAGTGGGTCTGTTCTTGGACAATTTCCCTACTGATTTCTTTCTAGAAAACCGGATACATATTTTTAACATGCAAATATGCATGTAGTTATCTCTGCATCTCAGTGAGATAGCCCAGTAAAGAAAGAACTTGAGGGACGCTCCCCCGCTAAGCACAGTGTTAAATGACTCTACTGGAATCAAGTTCACAATTAGTGATAAAAATAGGCGGATGCAAAGCACTGATTTAAAAAAAGAATGTACACTTATTTAACACTTTTTATCCAGATGCATCCCAAAGAATATTGCTTCACGGATTACAGTATTATGTATGAAAGACCTAGATAGGGATCCCCCCCTGGAAAATCTACTCACTATTTAATTACTGTGACAACCTCTATACACTACTTCAACAAACCATTCCTTAGCTGAGGCCTGGATTTTTGTTGGTTCTGTCACAGGGACAGAGGTTTTCACATGGGCCACAAACTTCCAATGATAGGTCAGATATATCTATAAAAAAAGCACAGCTACTGAAGGACATGTTGGTACTTGGATCATGCTATTTTGTCTTCCCCTTCAGCTCCTTTCCCCCCCAGCAGTCCCCTTCAGCCCCCAGTTCCTCAACTCACAGTACTGTTGCTCAGGGAGAGGGCCCTGGGTTAACCTTTCATGCTTTCTTCTTGCTACGGTCCTGCTGCACATAAGCAAACTCTGCAATGAAAGCATTAGCTGCACAATCTCAGGACAAAGAAGCAAGAAAAAAATATTCCCCGTGCTTAGTTCTACTCCCCAGGCCTATTGTTTCTTTTTAAACCAAATGGGGACAACGCTGAGGAAAAATACATCCCCCGAAGAAGAATCTCCTTACCCCATTTCAGCATGTGCAATGCTCAAATGTTGTAGCAGCTTCTCCTTTTAGCACTGTGATCGCCTGCTAATCTCCAGGTAACCTGCTTTTGAAACTGGAAGAAAACTACTCAGAGGAGGTACATGGGAAAGCTACAGTTTGCATAGCACTTACGGATCAGAATCAAGTACAGAGTGGAATTACAAGGGTCCTAAGATCATTCCAGACTACTGACAATCAGCTGGAATGAATATCCCAGTGCTGTCTGTGGATGGACAGACTATCGCTGCTGTCACGAGTTTATCTGCAGCAGAACACAGCACTCAGCAGAGCTGAGACTGCCACAGAAAAATGTTATGCAGAATTGGGGTTTTAAACATATTTTTATACATTCTATGATTCTATGTTGAACATAAACTTCCCATACAGACCAAAATTTAGCAAAGTCCTCCAGGTTTTTCAGAGAGAAGGCAAAAAGAATAAGCAAAAAAGATGAAGAAGCAAAGAACCGACTACGAGTCCATGTGATTTGATATAGTTTCTCAGATAACAAAAAAGCCAATTTCTTAACATTACAAACTCAATCCTTGCCTCTGAAGCACTACTACATTTATCTATGGATGTGTTTTATATGTGCACATTTTATGAGGAAAGCAGCTGAAATCTGCAGAGTGCAAGAAAACATTTTGTAAACTAAATGGGCATGAAATTCATCTACTATCCTAATTGCAGAATCTGTGCCATACAAAACTGCTTTCTTGCACTTACTGCACAGCCTGCTGCTCGCCTGCAATGGCTATATCAGGAAAAAGAATAAAAATCAGCTACTTTATTTGCTAGAAAATAAAGCATGTCTTGAAACTGATCATATGCAATGATACACTCATTAAAATAAAAATATATAGAACACAGCCTGAGATTTTAATTCTAGTATTTTTGCCACAAGTTGACATAATTGACGGATTTTTCTTCTCCTTTGGTTTTTAATATGAACGTGTTTAACAATTTTCACTATTCAAGTAAAACAAATGGAACTGAATACCAGAGAACGAAATAAAAAGCACATTTTGTTTCATGAAATCGAAAGTATATTTCCCCTTTTTGAGCACATTCCTTGGTGTAGAAGATTTACACTTCAGAGAACTCAGTACTTGAAGCTGTTTCATAGAAATATGTCTGTTGCATATAGGTGCATGCTGCATTGATGGAGATATATTGCTGCCTGCAGGACTCAAACCTGCTAAGTTTACCTGAGCTTGGTGTTTTCTCACTTAACGGAGTACAGCACAGCACTGAAGAGGAATCAAAACATACAACAACGTTGCATCCTACTTCCACATATTCTGAAGGCAGAGCTAGATGCCCTGAACAACGCCTCGGGTGATGGAGAGAACTCTTTCTAAAGTGCAGCAACTGAAAGGAGACTCGCCAGGCTGCTAGTCTGGCAGGTTCTCCACCCTTTGTATAAGCAACTCATCGTCTTTGGCTGTTAGGTTTCGCCAGCGGTTTTGTTCATTCTGTTTACTGCCTCAGCAGCTTGCTCTGGCAGGCGCGAAGGGTCCGACAGAATTGAAGTGCTTGTACTTAGATGCCGGAGGGTGTTCAGCACCACTATAAAAAAAAAAAAAGACAAGAAGAATATCAAGAAAAGCCACTGGTCTGGCTGCAAACAGATCTGTGCAGGAGAGTGTGCAGGTTCTGCAAGGCTGTTACACATGACAGAATTATGGAAATACTTCTGCAAACAGTGCACACCTCCACACAAAGTGACAGCAATAAAAAGATGTGCAAAAACTGTGCCCAGGGAACAAGAAATAGAGATCTAGGACTTTTAAAAAAGCACCTATTTCTTCTGCAGAAGAGAGTACCACTTGGCAATTATAACTGCAAATGTAAATACCTGCTGAATTGCAAAGGAGAAAGGGTCAAGCAACCAAGCCCAAACAGAAGGTCATTCCAAAGCTGAGTACAAATCTCAGAAGTTTTCCTTCACAATGAGACAAATCACACTGCCAAATTTGCTCCAAATAGAGCAGTGTGTTTGAAATCTAAATGCAGCTTGAAACTGTTTAGATTCTGGTACCTACATTCAGCAATTTGGGGGTTTTTTTGGGTGACTTTGCAGTCAAAAGAGGTTCTTTTCCACTAAGGTAATAAAAAGGAAGTGGAAATCACATTCAGCATCATGTGCTTACTTTGTCATCCTCTGGCTTTCAAGAAATGGTATTATATATGGTCTCGCTTCCCAAGATCCGCGTAACCGCTGGATTGAAATTCACTTACTTGGCCTCAGAACAGGAAGAGAACAGTGCTGATCCAACCAGGCCATTGCAGTTTGATTCAGATCCTTAAAGCTTTTCCTGGAAACAATTCCATTGAAGGACTCAAACAGTGGCTTAATAATAATGCTGAACTGCAAGTTACCAAATGTTAAGGGAGACAACAAGGGAGTTCAAAATGTTATACGGGAAAGGCTACTACAGCTCAGTCTGCAGAGAAGACAATGGACTTCTAAACAGACTTCAAATACTAGAGCGATTTAAACATTTAAAAACATATATTTTTAAATCTGTAACACGAAGACAAAGGAAAAACTGAGCTTCAGTTCGTAGCGATACTCATTATTTTTTGCAAAATTCCTGTACAACTCCTGTGGTCTCCTACAAACCAGCTGCACGCTGGGGCACGGTTGCAAGCGCAGGAGAATCTGAAAACCCTAAATACATTTAATTTGTTCCATTTCTTCATTGGTGTCTTTTTCCTATGACACTGGTGCTTTCATAGAAAAAGGATATAGAAGCTTTAGTGTAACCACACCACTAAGATGCATCCAAGGTGGGGTCCCTGGATGAGTCTTGCCTGGCGATAGGAGTCCAGCACAGGCCAACAGTGCAAGTATTCAGCCAATTTCTCAGGCAGATTTTTCAGCAAACACTCAAGGTCTGTGCTACTGCACCTAAACAAAGGTCTCAAAGTACACAAGCATATTCTCAGAGATGATCAGTGGTGTGGCAAGGATTCCCACACTAGGGACCAGACTTGCTGATCTGCATCTATGTGGACCAGAACAGTGGCAGCTGAGGGCTGTCAGGCTTTTCTTCTGGCTCTCTATTGTCACAGCTTGGAAGGATGGGCCTGGAATTGGCAATAACCTTCCTGGCAGGAAAGGAACAGACAGGATCCTTAGCCTGCAGTGTATTGTAACATCCAGATCACCACCACAAGCCTCAGCTGGCCCCAGCTCCCAGGCTTTGAGATGAGCTTTCCTGCAACAGTCACCATATCTGCAATCAAAACAGGTCATTGTAACATCACCACGATAATTCACCAAGTAGATTCCAGCTTACAGGTGCACTTATTCCAGAAGCTGGTTGGATGATAAAACTCATCCTAAGGCTCAGATTTTACCATGTTACTCCAGATGGGATTTTCTGACTACAGTCAGCAGCATGCGAGAATGTGGCCCAAACCAATCTCAGCACTGTGATGCACCCCCATCTTTCTCACTGTGGCTGACAACCAAGATAGGTCTAACAATTACCTGGTACACTTGAGGGGATTTGCATGCTCCTGCAGACTTTTACAGAGTAACTGGAAGAACAGCATGGGTATTATTCTGTTGATATTCTAGTATTCAAGAGTATTCTATTCTTGGGTTATCTCTAGTAGCCCAAGACCAGATTACTCATTTCCCTCCTATATGCAACAGAAACTATGGTATTTTCATAGTTGTAATGAAACTGCCCTTTTCTCTCTTACAGTCATTTCACAAGGAGATTTTTTTATTATTATTATAAGCACTTGCCCCTGGACCTTGTCAGCTTTTACTACAAGAAATTCTGAAATATGTCAACATGCCTAAAGGATTCAATCCAGCTACTAGAACAACTGTTCCATCACAGTTACATCCTGACTGCTAAAGGGAAGTTTGGGAACGTTACTTTGTCTATCAACCTTCTCTTTTACCAAGTACAAAAGCCTTGGTCTTTCCCCAAATACTACAAAAAAATAGCTACCCAAAATTGCATCTTTATCCCTGATAACCTCTGTCACTTTCTAGAAGTGTCTCACTTCTAAATTCTGGAGCTTTTTAACATCTTGGAGCAGCATAAAAAACCACACTATCCAATCAGCAAACATGTGCGGGATTGTCTTTTAATAACTATTTTCATCGTTATATTAAAGATCCCTATTTTCATAATTCCCTTGAAACTGCTCCAGAGTTAGCGGTGCTGTAGAATCCAGAATTTCCACAGCTGCAGCAGCTCTAAGTGATCAGAGACTGCGTGAGGTCTTGCCAAGAACTGTTTCCTCAGAGGATGCTAAAAGTGTCTTTGTAGGGCCAACACAAACCAGGAGACACCAGAGAAAGCATTCTCACGTATCAAAGTATAAAAAATGCTGTACTTCATGCACGCACATATATACTATCTGGGTAGTTAGAGGGAAATAACCAGCGCAGAACAGACATACAAAATATCAAGTGCAAATAGCTATATACGAAGTTTGTTGGGAAAAGGGAATGAGCTCCTGCTTACTGTTAATTACTAGTATCCCTGAACAGATTCAAGCTAATGAAGTTTGAGCCAAACTAGTTAAATCTATACAGCACAAATGCAGTCAACTTGGTTTCATTCAGTTTGTCTTTCTACCTCCTGCATTTTTGTTCCCTTACGAGCACAGCCTAAGCTGAACTAAGCTGATGCACTGTTGCAACGTAAGACCAACAGAATACTAAAAAAAAAAAGAAAAAAGGAGGAAAAAAAAGGGGAACGTGCAATTTTTTAAAACTGCCAATGCAACAGCTTCAACTTTTTCCCCCAAAATCTTTCATATTCTCTGCTCCGTTTTTCCAAAAGACTCTAAGAGCTACTGTTACAGCAGCACGTCACTAAACATTTCTTGCAGTGTAATAACCCACCAGGAGAACCTTGCCTTTGCTTTGCATTTTACTCCCAAGTCACCTCCCATACTACTGCAAGGTGAACACGTTCTGCCTCATGGCAGCATATACGGCAAGGATTCACATCCGCATACAGATGGGAATGAAAACTGAGGACACATGTAATCTAAGTAACTTGGCTTAAAGTCACAGCAGACTTCAGAGTTCTTGGCTCTAAATATGTTAGTACCAAAACTTAGGTTCAGCTGGTTAATATCAAAGGATACAATCCAAAACTTCCAGTTCTGCTGGGCCCTGCTTCTCACATACTCATTAAACATCCTCCTCATGTGGTCAAATGTTTGCAGTGCTACGGGAACCCCGGTAGCAGGGAGCTGCTGTTGACAAGAACTGAAGAGACGTTCTGAGGTCAGAATCCCCACCAGAAAAGACATGTTTCTCTTCCAAGCTGAATTATAGCACGAGAAAGTGTATATCCCCAGTATCCCTGATGGAGGTGGCTTCCCAGTGTATGAACCCCCAGAATGCAATCATTACAACCAGGAATACATACGGTTTTCCATTAATTTTGTCTATATTCACACTGCAAAGAGATTTCTCAAGCAGCTACACACTGCTTATTACAAGCAACAAAACCAAAACCAAAAGTATAACATAGTTATATTAGTTTCTGGCATCCAATTAGGAAAAGGCACATTAGGAGTCAGAGGAAAATTTATAGAATTACTCCTGAGTGAGTTACAGAAGAAAATGTTACAGAGATTCTTAAGAAACAGCTCAATTTAAAATCAGATCAAGCAGACATCAACATGCTTTTAAAGCAAAATCGAAAGGTTTTGATTTGCTGGTAAGTCCAACATAATGCCTAAGCCTAACACTTCTGCAGATGGACGAAAAACCACCGGGGTTCTCAACGTGCTTTGCAATAGCACATAACTATCACAAACCCACAGGGGAAACTGAGGCACCAGGAAGGTGAAGCGACTTAACAGAGTTACGTTCAGCCAGTGGCAAGCTCCTTGATTCCAAGCCTGAGGTCTTAGGCACTCAACCATGTTTTCCTATAAAAACTGTGTTTGGAAAGAAAACTGCAGCAAAGCCACCACGAATAAGAGTGTTTGATCACCTGGTGAGCACAGCTCTAAAAAAACATTGTCAGTGGCTTTTTAGTATTATTCTAACTGACCTAATGCATCTTTTCTGATGCTGCCACTGCTGTGCACTCATCCCAGAGCGTGCTGAAAACCCACAGGGTTTGCTACCAACACCCATCCCACAGCAACTACGCTTTTTGTTTGGAAGTTGGTAGCAATTCCACTCCAATACCATCTGGTGTTTGGCATGACATCTGAGGCAAACCTTTCATGCTGTTAGCCAAAGCAACATTCGAGCTGCTCTGCTTCATTACAGAAAGCTCCCCAAATCTCACATGATGGCAGCGTTTAGCTCCTCGATCTCTTCCCGAAGGCGCCTGGCTTCCTCTTGCATCTGGGTTCTTTCCTGCTGTAGTTTAGCGATATATTCTACTGTTTTCTGGAGCGTGACTGCATGGCTGATCTAGACCAAACACAAACACAGAGCTCACTTTCTGGAACAAAGCTAGACAGATGAAGAGTTTGCCCCTAACCTGCTGTAACACCCAGAAAATCTTTGTTTTCAGCACTTTTTCTTAAGTTTCCTCCACTGTGTGCGAAAACAGGCAGAGCAAAACACAATACAACTGAACTCTTCATTTCTCTGGCTCCTGTTCACACACTAGTACAGAGAAGTGTGGTTGCAGAGGTTGTTTTCTTCTACAAGTTACATTTTTGCTACTTTGTTGAAAAGAAGTATTTTAATGATTTCAAGTGTTTTATTTCATTACCTATCCTCTTAAAAATAGGCACATAGCTTCCTGAAGTACTGCAGGGCGTGCTACATCTGCTGACAGATTTATAGTACTGTTAGAGGCATCACTTTAAGTTGACAATATAGACTATTTCATCTGGGAAACCTGAAGTTATTAAACAGAAGGTAACACGGTTTAGCTATCACCCAAGGAGACAGAAACAATGTCACAGATCTTTTTTAAACTAACTCTTCAGTTCTGAGGAACAAATTAAAAGTCTGTACTTGAGAAATAAAATAATCACACATTTTACTAACGCTGAGTTTTCAAAACCGATTATCTTTCAAACAGGCTATTCAAATCAGGAAGTGAAATTGTGACAGCGTATGGCCTAAATGTATCAAACTATAAAAACAATGTAAACAAATCAACATGCTGCACAATAAGCCTTCATATTTTCCATGTTTCAAAAGGTACTGGTCTCTAAAGACATTTAGAATTTTGTTGTGCGGATAAGACTATGTTTCAATTATTCTGATTTAAATTTAGTGAACTCAGTTAACTGGTGTAGCCAGAATATGTTCTTAATTTGGACAAAGTCATTTGACAGTGAGAAGTCACCTGGGAATTTTTCTGTAAATCTATGCACAAGACAGGTGACAGGGAGGGGGAGAACAACCCTGAGAATATTTGCAAGGCGGTGGGTACAGGGCCAAATTCTAAAGGCAGCTGAGTAATAACTGGATATAGAGTCCCAGAGGGATTTTCAAAATCTGAACTGGCCAAGCTCCTGACTCCTCCGGTAGGCAGATATCTCATTGGTGTAGGAAGTTTTAGAAATTTCAGAAATTAGAAATGTTAATAATTTAGAAATTATTAACAAGTCTTTTTAGAATGGCTCTTTCATATATTCCATTTTAGTTTAACTGTTGTTACTGCCAAGGTACTTACCGACTTGGAGTTGGCTGAAACCAAGCTGTTCAGAGCACTGAAACCAATCTTGATATTACACCTTCGTTTTTGTTCCGAAATACGCTTCGTTCTTCGATTCTGCATAAATAAAATTGGCTCAGTCTATGCTGTTCTCCTTTACCGTTCTACTGCTATGACTATTTCAGCTATTCAAATCCCCAGTATCATTTTTGCTGAATCGTGGCATTCACAGTCTCTCCAGTCAAAGCCGCTTGACTACAAATTTGCAAACTATGACTTAAGTTATTAAAAAGAAGTGTCCAGTGTATGAAATTAAATTCCAAACCTTATAGGTTTTCTTTCTAAAGTAAAGATTCTTGTTAAGATTGTTACACAATTTCCTTTTCTGAAGTCAAATTCCCTTTTTTGAGGCATGTAATTAGTTAGGAACTTGCTGAAGCCTTTTAGTTTAAAAGGGTCCGTATCATTTATTTCTAATGCATATATAATGTCTACTGATGTAACAGACTGGCTAAAGCGAAAAAGAAGAATCCAAAACTCTGGCCTACCCTGTGGATAAAGGCTTTGTCAGGAATTAGCATTTTTGTTTGTAGCATTAAAAACTTTAAAAGTTGTTCCCAGCAAAATTCTTGGAAGACAATAAGGTGTTTACACTTTGAGAATGCATTCTCAGCGCAGCAAGGCTGTCCGGCTACAGCTTATCACCACCCCATTTTATAATGGAGGAAAACAATGTAATAAAACAGTGAAGTGGATGCCCAAAACCACAGAAAATGCAGGTTCAAGAGCTGAACTGAGATTTTTCAGTGTCCTCCGTGCTGTGCCAAACTGAAAAAAAAATGTTACCCAGCAATACAGAACTGTTTAGTCTAACTAACCGCTCCGAGGAGCGAAAGACCATACATCAAGAGACTGGCAAACATCACTGTTTCTCTCTTGTCTTACAAAGAGCCACTAACAGTACACATTCAAAGCAATTCCTGTCACAGCCGGTGAGTTTAAGTGGCTCCAAGTCCGACCTCGTTGCAGTGCCCTCACTTTTAAGAACACTCCTCCATCTAGTGGCCACTTCCCCACCACTGGCCAGTCTTAATAATTTGTTCCTTTGTTAACTTGCTCTCTAGCAGCAAGAACAGGCTGCAACTACGGATTGTGTGCATCTATGCCAAGCAAATAAACATTAATGAATAACTTGCAGCATGCTCAGCAAGGGCCAGTTCCGATTCTCCCCTGCAACAGAGCCAGAACGGAGTGCAATCACGGGGTCCAAGTGTTTAAACTTACCCTTCTGTCCTCAGTGTAATCAAGCTGACATCAACTCACAGGGTATGCACCAAGACAGAGAAGCCAAAAAGGGCCTGCCACTTGCAAAATGGTTAAGTAACACTCCCTTTCACAACAGAATGAATGATTGTCCTGCACTGGTTGGTTTTTGTGGAGAAGTTTCTCATACCATCTCAGAAAGTGTTCTGACAAGGTCAGCTTGAGTATGAGGTACATCAGCTTTCAGATGCTATCTCTAGACCGCCGAGTTCTTACCCCAATAATTCTTGAAGTGTTTTACAGCTGTAACTTGTAGAGTCTGTGGAGCTGCTTCTCTGTGGAGCAGCATAGCATCACTGGAGACATGTAAGTAACTCAGCAGGTCAAGAACTCCCTCTCCAGCGATGGCCAGAGCCCTGCAGACTGAAGAGCCCCAACAGAACAATGGCAAAAAGCCACGGTTTAGAAAACTAAGCCTGAAACCTTTGACTAAGTAAACTGAGACCTGTCGTAACACTCCCATGAGCCACAGCAGGAACTCTGTCATGATCATACGGACCTGCAGAGGTACAGTTAGCCTGGCCCTTCTGGTGACACATCCCTGAGGAGCAGAGTCGATTATTAAAGTCTGACATTTTAAGTTGAACAGAGCAGCACAGATGCAGCGCAAGCTAAGCCTAAGGCACAAATTACTCCACTGTTCCTGAAGCACAACTTACTCTCTAGGCTGTGCTCAGACATCAGGGCAGAAAAGCAGCTGCAAAGGAAAAGAGCACCTCCAAGGAAAGGACACACACCTTAAATGCAGCCATATTAGGGTCAGTGGCAGGTTTTCCTGAGCAGCTGTTCTGGGGAGACTGTGGGCTGGGGCTGTGCTCAGAGGTGCAGGGGGAAGCTTGGCCTGAATTCTGACAGTCTCGGCCTTCATAAAGGAAGAAAGACAAGTCACATTAACAAACAACTTTCTGTAGCAAATGTAACTGCTGAGAAGTTTCTATTCAGAACTGAACTGAAAGGCAGTCAGCAACCAAATCACACTCACTGATGCAGCAACCACATGCTAGAAAATGTCAAGATCACTGCGAAAGCTTAGTATTTCATGGCACAAGGCTAATATATCCCAAATAGTGATATGTAATACTCTCTCACACACACACAAACGTTTCAGCAAAGGCATGTTGAGCCCATACGCTGCAATTCCATCGTCCTGCTAGACTCCCCCATTTGAGCTCTAATGGCCTGGGACATGACAGTAATACTTACAAGCCATTTACCAGCAAAACCACCTTATGTCTCTAAAACTGGACCAGAGAGCACCTTATCAACACGCATGCAAAAGGAGTCTGTGCACTTACCTACTGTTAAAAAGGATTGTGTCTGAGATCCTCCAATCAAAATTATAGTAGGATACTGAACAACAAACCTATTCAGCACTTTCTACACAGATGCCTTTCAATCGGGTTTGATTTCTTGGTGACTACGACAGTACATCCATTTAGAAAGGAGCCACTTAGAGGAAGCACAAAATCGCAGTTTGTGGGAACGCAGCACGGTAGTTCGAGACAAAAATTGCAAACTGGATGCAACTGAAGCTGCAGGGTAAAAGGGCCTAAAAAGCTTTTCCTTCAAAAACGATCCAGGGATCCTCATGGCCCGTTTACACCCTGCCTAACCAATGGAAACACACACGTGTAGTGCAGAGGGAATGCTTACAGCTTTCTAACTTACTAGGTGTAGGTGAGGGAACTTGTGAACTGCAACTGTGGGAAGGGATTTGCTCTCCTTTCACCAACGCATCCTGGACTACACTAGGAGAGAAGAGATGTGAGACTGTGGACTGGGTTTGTTGACTACTTGGTGCTCGCTGTGCTGGACCAACCAGAATGTTACTACGGAACTCCGTCACCCCGGGAGCCTGGGAACAGCATAGAAATAGCACAGAGAAAAACAGAGCAAGAAAGAGAGAGCAGGAAGAAGAGGGATGGGGGCAGAGGGAGAGAAAGGATGAGAGAAAGGGGAAACGGGGAGGAGAGAGAAAGAAAGAGAAAGAGAGATTTGTTACCTTGCCTTTCACTAAAGTAGCAAATTAATACATGATTAACAATCTGATGACATGAAACAAGGGTTAATATGTAAGGAATTGGCAAGCACTTAAGTCAGACTTCTGGCAGCAGACCAGTATCCTTCATAATTTAAGCACTATTACAACACATCAACAGCACAATATACTAAAGACTATTTCCACCTTCCTGCATACAACATATTGGGAAACCCGCTCGTATACTCAAGGCATGCTTTCCAGTATGTAAATGGAAAGGTGAGGGTCCTGGGTTCCTTCGAGCTTCCACCCCCATTCACAGTACTGTGTACACAAGTCTCTGTAATCCTACTGCGAGACAGTCTGTGAAGGCTAGATAGTGCTTCCAGGCCCCTGAAGTAGCTAAATTAAAAATAAGCAAATATAACGCTGAATGCACAAATGCACGTGCTGGGTAACAGGTGAGATTTAGCAGACTAGTTACCCTCCTGAGCACATTACAGCTCTACTACTTGCAAATAAAAGGCCTAAAAACCAAAAAAAATTGTTTTTTCTTCTCCTTACTCTGACAATTCCAGCTGGTGCAATTGCAACATTAGACTGAGACGTGGCTGGCGTCAAAATCCCCTCTCTTTTTAAAGGTGCTGGAGTTACAATCACAGTTCTGGACTGTCCCTGAAAGGCAGCTGAAGAACACAAGTTAGAATAGTTAATGAGACGACCAAAAAAAGTGCTAGAGATTATTTGTACAAAATAACTTGTCATTAAACAGGGGAATGGATTAACGGGCACCTATTTGGTACTATTACATTGCCATACAAAGTGCCACCAGTTTTCTGGTAACCTCAATCCCCCTAATCCAATACAAAGGACTCAAACACACCAGTTATTTCTGAGGCTTCTAACATCACTGTCACTGTCTCAAGGTGAATTTACAGAGGTACCTAGTAAACCAGGGAGGTGCAAACTGTCTTCATTCTGTCACAGCTGGGTTTCACAGAAGGACGATCATCTTCACCTCTCACAGCCATAATTCTTGGATCTTAGGCTCGCTCTGCTGACCCAGAAAGGGTCAATGACAGAAACTGAAGGATGCATACGCAATACCTCATGCTTCCTTGTACATATACATTCTCTTCCTCACCACTTCACTCTACCAGCTTCTTTCACTATCTGGTTATACAGCTGCTTTACATGACACACATGCACAAGACAACCAAATGTGATTGGGAATCAGCAGCAAAATTCTCCAAAATAGGCTAAAGAACCAGGAGTTCTGCAGCGTTAGCTAGAGGTAACTGTGAATAGCAGCAATTGTCTCCACAGAGAAAGTTACAAAAAGTTCTCCAAAAAAGGTCCTCAGGAGGCTTAGGCCCATGACAGGATCAGGATCCTTGCTCTAAGGGTTTTTTCACCACTACAGTATTCCAGTCTAACACGAGTCTGTTCAGGTCTCAGTTTCAGCAATGCAGATGTACAGCCATTGACATGGCATCAATGCTGACATTGTTCTTGCCCAGACTTCAGAGAACGTGACTAACCATCCTACATTCTTACTAAGGGAAGAATCAAGCGAAGACACAGCTTCTGTGTGCTTTTTCAGAAAACTAAACCAAATTTACTCAGTCTCAGTCTACTGGTTTCAGCTCTCCTTTGTACTAATAAAGTCATGATGTATGAAAAGCGTCAGAGTAGCTCAGCCACTGCCAACCTACCCCTGTGCAGTTTAGCATCAGGATACTGAAGGATGCACACAGCAGAACAGGGAGACAGTACAGGATACCTATTACCCTCTCCCCTACCCTGTCATCTGTGACTAACAGCAACTGTGTTGGGAATCAACTCAAGTTTCTGTAGAGCCTTTACTAGAAAGGCCTGCGGACTGCACAAACCTCATGTCAGCCCTTGCGTGGGTCTGTCTGGCAGAGAGCGCTGTCACTCGGATACAGGGAGTTCATTCTTTGAGCATTCCCACATACAAAGCTGGAATCACAACCCTTCCACTGTTCACTCATGTTCAGCCAGACTTACGAGCGCACTATTGAGCTGAAGAGCCTCCTCTTACCAGTGCGCTAATGCTGCTGCACAAACCTGGTATTTCTGACTTCCACATCTGGGTAACTAACAATCAGCACATATTTAAATGCCCCTTTACATTTTTCATGTTTCTATCCTACACAGGCAGCTTTTGTAGACTTTCCTCTCAAAATCAGAACGTTTATCCTGAAGCTGCAATGGCAGAGTTCTTTTCCATGTGGAGTCTTGCATCTGATGAGACAACCCGTGCAGATTGTGGAGTGCTTCTATCAAAGGGCAGGAAATGTTATACATCCCTTTCTAACACAGGCCATAATGCAATCTGCTTTGCAGCCGTGAGATGATTTGCTTGTCCTGAACACAAACAGCAGGCATAAATGCCTCAGTTACAAGTACTGATGTTTATTTTATTGCCCCCCAAAAAAAAAGCTGCAGTCTTTATATAGAATCTTGGATTGGACCTCTGTGCTTGGTGTCCCAGAAGTTTAGGAGCACCAAGATCCCTGAACACATGCTGCTACCAGGAATGAAAAGCAGCAACAATTTCTAATCTAGACAAGAAACAAAGCCATTTGTTGGGATTGTCTAGAAGTAACTGATGAAGCACTGGGAAAGTGATATATGGGCTGAGGCACAACCCACCAGGCACTAAGAAAGCAAGAAGCAAAGGCCTTCTGAAAGTGAACATAGCCTACCGTGCTTTACTAGGCAAGAAATACGTCTTGACTGCTGCAGGTTCACAGACTCTTGCTTGGTGACGCACTACAGACGGAAACGCTGCCATTAACACCCCAGTGCTATTAATCATGGACCAACTTGTTCCCAGTGACACGCTACAATTAGAACCTTGGGTCTGTTCTACTCCTGAAGAGCGATTTTTTTTTTTGGTGGGTAACCACAATGCCAGGGCCTGCCAGACACACCTGCTCCTTAGTAAAGCCTGTTTAACAATACTCCTCCAGGCAGCGTTTTTCTTGGATTACTGTTGCACATTTCAGGTGGCTGAAGTCACTTGGCCCTTAGCCAGCACAAGTCTAAAAACAGTGTGCAGTAATCCCAAGAAAAAGTGTTCTGCCTGTCCTGCTCTAGCCTTGAGCTTTCCCACAAGAACCACCACAAGCAAAACCCTCTCTGCTCACGCCTGCTGCTCTTAGCCTTGTGCAGTGCCAAAGGCTCCACATCACACCCAGTGTGGAGGTCCCAGCATCAGTTAGGCACTCACACCCTGAACGGAAAACCACGAGCTCCTGACAGCATCTGAGGAGTCTGCAGATTGCTGGAGACAGAGATCTCCAGCTCCGCCTACCCGTTCCTAGTCCTTCCCCCCCTGAAGGACTGATTCTCATCACCCTGGTCCTGCTAGGGAGCACCTGATGGTGTATACGAGGCACAAGTCCGTGCTTCCCTCTGCTGTGGTTCACTTCAACAGCTGCTCCCTACCCAACTGCCAGAACACCCCCAGAGCACGACCAAAGGACGTACACCCTGGTGTTAAGAGTGTGAGGATGCACAGGCAGGCACAGGGACTTGTCCAGGGCAACCACACGAGCCAGTGACAGGGACAGATCCGCCACTCTCCCTCCCATACTCTCCCCCTGCCATCTGCTCTACTGTGGTTGAACACTCGGAGGGGCAGAGTTGATCAGAACAGCATTAAACATCAAAGCCAAGGTTTCCATGGGGCAGGGAGTGCTAGTCATCCCACGTGCTGACACACCTACACAGCTCAGCACAAATGTAACAAGGAGATACGCCCTTTTGCAGGTTAACTTTTCACGCTCAAACTAAACTGCTTCCAATCCTCACAGCAGTCCAGAGCATCCCACTGAACAGTGTAGCCACACACCAGTGGATTCAGGGGTTCCTTGGTCAGCCTCCCTATATTTTTACTCATTATGTAAACCAAGAAAAGAAAGAAGGGCTCTCCCTTCTGCTAGTCCCACTCAGAAAAGAAAAACATCAGCCCACCAGTGCTTCTCACCTGGGGTGATGAAGGCATTTTTTAACAATAAGGACACTATTTCAGGCTTTGGAGCAGGCAATGTTTTTTGTGACTGTTTGGGCCTTGTCCCAGCACTGGCCAGAGGAACAGCTTTGGGGAGTGCAAATGTCAGCTGGGACTGCGGCTGGGGCCGGGGCTGCCCCTGCAGGAGAGCAGTCTGGAAAGCCAGGTTACAAGTCACCCCTGCGCCTGGCTGCTGCGTGGCTAGGACACAGTTCTGGCTCTGGCTGAAGGTGGTGGCAGGGGCATTTTGCGTCAACGTAGCAGAAGCTGTGTGGGTGATAACTGTAGATTCACAGAGGCCAAACTTCTGGGTTTCCGGTGCAGCAAACGCAGGTGATGGAGAGCTTAAGCTGGAATTCAGAGGCACTGCAGGCAACGGGGACTGGTGCTGTTGTGTCGCAGGTTGAGGCAGTGGCAAGGGCGTCTGAAACACTGGCATAAAAGTTTGTGGCCCGCTGAGGGACGAGTCGGGAGTGAAGTCCGCTGGGTGGATGAAAGGTGTCTCGCTTCTAATGCTGGAACACTGGTCAGTGCCAACATCGGGAATGACAGGAGCAGGTACTGAGGAAGCAATCAGTCCGTCACCCATGTTCCCAGCTGGAAGCGTGTTGGGCAATGAATCAGACGGCAGGACAGGAGACTGTCAGAAAAGAAAAATATTACAGAATCAGACCCCTGAAATTCTTGTCTAAACTCCTTCCAAGAAAGACATGGCTCTGGTATGAGAGTCTTCAAGGCACATAGGTGTCTGAGATGAGGCTGTTCTGACATCAAGAACCTCTCTTACCTGGGAAGAATGGCTGCTGCTGTCTGTTGTAGCTGAGCTGGCAGCAGACACAGAAGGGAAATAATTACTGGAACGACTGGGCGTGAATAAATCTGAAATATGAAAAGTCACCTATTAATTTTCTACTTTTCACGCTCTACATACAGCATTGCTAGATAGTAAAATTCACAAGAATATCAATATTATTTAATAGATAATGAAATCACAAGATTTTTGCTTCATACAAGGGTTGCTGACTGAGCAATGAATTGTTGCCTTCCGAAGGAACTGATCTCTTAAGCGCAGATTTCAAACTGAGGACAGTACAAAATGAGTCTGATGTTTCATGTCCACCTACACACAAAGAGCCAAGAGCTGATTCTCAATGCAGCCCCACAACATTCAGTTATCTGCTGCAGACTGCAAGCAGGCCCAGCAAACAGATGTGACTTTTTACTTCCACAAAGATCCATAACCATCAAAGTTGTCAGTAGCAGTCTAGCATCATACGTAATTCTTGAAAGTACCAGAAAATGTTCCAAGGCAAACAAAGTGTTAAATCACTTCATCACTAGGAAGTGTTAAATGGCAAAACCTTAGTGATTCTGAGCATCCTCCTGCCCACTTCTGATGTTCTACCTTTAATTACTCAATGACTTAAGGTCTAAATGCTATTCTTTCGAAAGGCAAATTTAACTGCCAGGTTCAAACCTTGGAATGAACAACCATAAAGTGACTCTCAAACCCAGGTGATTAAAGGACTGGGGTCACAGTAACAAGGGATTCTACCTGCATATGCATCTGGTTGAAATAATGAACAGTGAAAACACGTATCAAGTGTTCTTTACCTTTCACTCAAATCTGCCTTCTAAAGAGAGTAGGTATCTGCAACGTTTCATCTTCTGTTAAAAACCAGTTCATAAATCACTACAACTTTAAATAAATTAATTTATATACGATTCTTACCCTGAAAAGGCTCAAAAGTATCCATGAAATCAAGATTTGGCTGGAGAGGAATAAGCCCTGGTTGAATCATGTCAGCATTTCCTAAGTGTGCTGCAAAATTCAGGAGACAGATTAGATCAGCTTCACATCGTTCGCACAGTAATAGCAGTAGGAAAACAGCATTTGGCTGGACGACCAACGCACACTCCACAGCCAGGCTTGGCCAGGACGTTTAACAGAAAAGCTGCTGCTGAAATGAACTCAGCATCTGCTTTTCTTCAGAACTACAGCATAGTTCTGAAATCAAAACCACTGGGGAATGAAACTTTCAACTAGTAAAATGGAGGAGGTGAAACTTGAAGGCTCTAACTAACAACTGGGGATTGCCAAGCTTGGATGCCTCCTACTGCCAAACCTCCTGTCCTGCCCCTGCTACACAATATATAAATGTGCTGGGAAGAACAACCTGAAGCACCACAGTACTTTAAAATAAACCGTCATCCAGTTCATTTTGCCTCAAGTACACTTCATGTAAACCACAGTTGCTCTGGAGTTGCTCAGACATCCACGTAGCAAGGATGATGCAGAGCAGACATCTGCTGTCCCACAGACAGTCAGAGCCTGCAGTTAGAGAGCATTCCACAGAACCGGGTATCTTGGAACTGTTTTTAAGGGAGATGTGACTTGCACTTGTTCTAAGGGACATATCCAAAGAAAAACACACAGGCACTCCCTAAAAAATACACAGACACATATATGTTTTGAGATAAATAACAAGTCCTTCACATCTGATAAAGTTAAATACTGCTCACTGCAGATTTATTCAGAGCAATGTCAGAGGACAATGTTAGCAGCAGCACCTCAGAAGCTAAAACAGAAATTACATTTGGATGAGTAACTGGGATTCCATAACCTATAAAGCATAAGACAGCTACATTCCCTGACCTATTTTTATCTGTATCAGCAAAGATAAATTTCTTAGGGAAGACTAGATGAGCAGCAAAGCAACAAACCAGATTTCTCCTAGAGGTTCCCACTGCAAAATAGCTAACAGCCAAAAAAATACCTATGTCCCTGGAATTTGGCCAGAAAACCAGCTGGTGTGAAGACAGTGTGGAGAACAGCGTGTCGGTGAACTCAGACATAAGCATATCTGCATCCAAGAGGCTGCCTTCCTCCATAGGGACAGGGGTTTCTCTGCCATACCTTCTTTTTTGCCACAGAACCACATCATCATCCTGCCAACGGAAAGGAAGAAAAGTCAGGCTGCCTAGACAATGCTAAAGCAGTCTGGTGCAGGTATATAAAAACAGTCCTCAATTTAACATTTTTAGAGAAGGAAACTCTCCTTTAGGAGCCACCAGACCAGTAGGACTTCTAATACACCAAAAACTTCAGCTCACTGATTTGAGCAACAACAGAAAACTCTGGGAAAGGCTTTTGCCCAAAAACCCAGATGTTGACTAGAAGGACATAAGAGAAAATAACTTCAACACTTCCTAGTTTCATTGGTTACACACATATTTTTACACCTACAATTTAACACCCTTTGTTTTTAATAAAGATTTAAAAATAACATGCATGGCAGAAACTCAAAGCAAACTCCTATCTTGAAGTGTATCTGAATCTCTGAAATGTAATTAAGTGTAACTGTAAGCAGCTTTGCACGGGGTATGCTGATATTCTTGTGGGCACTTCCATGAATAATACAACATAACGTGACATCCTTCACTGCAGGCCAAGCTAAATTGCACTGCCCTGCATTTGCTGCAGACCAAAAGCACACCGTCAGGTTCTGGTGGCAGAGCCAACAGACAGCTTGAACTACCCCAGCATACCATGATGGTGCATTGGACCTCACGGCCAAAACAGCTGAGTTTTGTGAAACTGGAACAGATCCAGACGTATGACTAGCTCCATAAAAAAATAAATCAGAACAGTGGTTCTGATCATCAGTTTATATGCCCAAAGTAGGTTTGATGGCTTTAGGGGGCGCACTAAATGGTGATGCCATTGTTTCTTTACACATTTGCCTTTTGTAGGATCCTGGCACATTATCTGCCCATGCTGCGGGCAGCGGGAAGATCTGCAACATGTAGCACACATCTTCACAGATCCAGTTACGCAAGCAGGGCAGTAGTGCCAGTTACGACTCAGTAATAAGATGAAATAAGAAGCCAGGCCTCAAAGAGATTGATCTTCCTGGGCACCCAATACTGACTCTCATTTCTTCTGTCACAGCACTTTACATTCAACCTCCTCTATCCCATTCAAGCTATGAATCTTACATTGCTCTCCAAGGCGCAGAAACACAACCTTAATTAAGGCTTAAGTAAGATGCTTGTCTTTAGATTTTAATCAATGCAAGCTACTGCACGTTACAGCTTTGTTACTGCAGCTTCTACAAGCATAAATGCTGCCACTTGTCACTGGTATTACCTACCCTGACCAAACTTGAAAGATCTTCATCTTTATGTTTCTGTAACTGCAAAAGGAGAACAAAACAGATGTTAAAGTCAGAATAGGCCCTGTATATGCCAGTAGAAGACCTGACTTCGCAAAACTTTTAAGACCCAATCATGCACAATTAGTCCCTGCGTGATAATTTTTAGTTAAGTGGGACTAATCAGATGAGTACGCCTGTACTAGCTTACCATCTGTTTCAAGTATTCTTGCATGCTAGCAAAAGTGACATCAAAACTCAAAAAGCAATGACATACTGGTCAAGCTCTAGTAAGCTACTTTCACTGCATAAGCCAACAGACCCTTTTCTTGAAGTACGTTCTCCACTTGTGGTATTCTCTGATGACTATTTCAATTCTTCGTTTCCAGTATTTCCCTTCTGTTGCAATGGCCTGAGAACACAAACACACACCATGAATTGCATGGAATCACATAACGGCTGACTGGTCAATACATTTCCATGCAAATATTCGGGCATAAAAAAATGCAAAAGAAAGCATGTGCTAATTCCATTTGAGCTCACATACCAGCAGCCCATACTGTCCCAGAGCTCAGCTATCACAGAGCAAATTGGACAGTACTAACTTCATCTTTCCCACAAGAAACAACCAAGAAATGACACCTGACTGCACTGTCAGCACCTCCCACATCAGCTCAACCATAACCAATAGTTAAAAAATGACAAAAAACACCCTAAACTTTAAAATTAAGTTGCTGAAATATAATGTATAAAGCTTAGAATACCTCAATCTGCAGAAAACAGACAAAGAATTCCAATAGTTTAAAAATGACAAAAAAACCCCTAAACTTCTAAACTTTAAAATTAAGTTGCTGAAATATAATGTATAAAGCTTAGAATACCTCAATCTGCAGAAAACAGACAAAGAATTTCACCAGGTTACATGAAGATGTGCATACACACTCAAGAGCTGTTAAGAATGATAGAAAGCAACAGAAATGTCCAGCTCAGGGAGAAGCGTGACCTTGCAGGCCACAGACTAATATCAACAAAAGGATCAGAACAACGTGGGTCTTTAACGTATCACAGATAGCAGTGTAGAAGTTGGGGACAGTAGACTAATGACAGCCTTGCTTGTGTTCGAGGGTCATCTTCCACCACAAACATCCACATCGTTCTTTCCAAAATCTGACACAGTTCCACAAACTCATCTGGAAGTTGTTTGAGTTATAAATTATTCTAGAGTTATGCAATATAGAGAGTCACATTGCCACAGCAAGGGCCTCACTGGTTTTCTGCAAGGATCCAGAGGGCAGACATTAGTTTTCAGTTATGTTTGCAAGAGCACACAAACTCAGATTCGCTCTTTTTGTCAAGTCACCTTGGCAGCAAAAAAGAAACTACCGTTGTCTTGAAACCACACCTCATCAATTAAATAAATTGCAGAAAACTCTCACAGGGTCACTTAGATTCAATCCTGAAAACAGTAATGACACTGTTTTCCCACTGACTTCAGCAGTCTCTAGCCAGAGGACAGCAGTGGCTGTCAAAATGTTTGCTCTTCAAACTGCGCTTCTATGATTTACCTTTCACTAAACTAGAACATGGACATAAATTACATAAGTCATAAACGTCCTTCCAGTCGCACCTTGATCATCTCAATGTGATAAACTTACAAAAATGGGTTCAGTCTGCTTTAGATTAATGGTTCTTTCTAAATAAAGACAACAGAGGGAAGAATTGCTGTGCTGCTCTCCTACTTAGCAGCCTAGAAAATCTTGCTATGAACTCCAGAGCTCATTAGTCTGTCCCTCGGGTTTTACCTACCTCTGGCCGACGATGCTCATCGACATCCACAGAGCCGTCCAGTGGAGTCACGAAGTGGCACACTGGATTCTTGCTCTTCTCCAGGTCTGAAACGAGAAATGGAAACGCGAGTGCTCAGCTTGTGCAGGCTCTGAAGAGAGCTCTGTCACTTCGGTGGCAAGATGGGGCGGTGGGTGGGAGAAATAATATAGCCTGGGTTCCTTCCAGATAACCAACAGGAAATGGGAAGATCCCAGACTGTGCTGGGACCAGTCAGTCCAGCTTCTGTGCAGAGATCTGGGAGAGCACAGATCCAACAGCACTGCCAGGACAGCCTGCAAGACATCTGGGCCTTCAGCAGATTTTTGAGCTTTTTGTAATTTCAGTTCTCTTGCTTCTTACATATATACATCTCGCAAGTATTTTTCAGCAAGACACGACCGAGCCAGACACTTACACTGCATGTACCAAGCCCTCCAGATGGCGTTATTGAGACGGATTTTATCCCTCCACTGAAGTTTCAAGCCTTTAAAATTTTTCCATTTCGGTGAAACCAGCTTCCCACTGAAACAAAACAGACAACAAATCATTCTGCTTTCGGTCTTTCTCTCCCCACTTCTTTCAAGATAAAGTATCCTTCTATAACGTCCCAACTGTCAACAAAGCATAACAAGTCACACTTGGCCAGTGACAACTTTTGCCATAGGCTGTCCACAGTTTACTGATCTCGGTGTCAGAGGTCCAGGTTTCAAGACTCCTTCACGTTCTCAATCTGCTCGCTAACAACCGTCACAACTGGTCTCCCAAGTATCTTCAGTAGGACTGAAATTCATTTCACCTGCACCTTTCTCCTTGCCAGTATCCCACCTCCTCAAATACCAGCCTACAAGCTTCCATCAACTGAGAACAAGATTGTTCAAAATTAAACCCAAAACCTGGTCCAGAGGTTTTGGGCTTGGATTATGCCAAGGAGCTGGATGAAGTCAACACAAGTTCACTTCTACAATTCCATTCAAATTTCCAGGCTGGCAGCACTGGAAAGAAAGAATGAAGTACCAGTTCTGGACCAAGAAAAACCATCACCCACCAATTCTCTAATGCCACTAAACACAGCTGGGCACAAAGCATCACCAACAGGCTAGAAACTGTAACTTTTATCCAGGGAAAGGGAAGGCTGGAAGAAGAAACAGCTTATGCGTGAACAATCTTGAGAGGTGGGAAGGAAAAAGGAAGAAGCAACAGGGACTCCAGTAAACACTGTGTAAACACAAACTACCCAGCCCTTAAAACGCACCTTTATGAATCATTAATCCATACTACTGACAGAGCAGAGGAAGTAGGAAATACTCATAATGTAATAAACTTCAAGCCACAGATGAAAATGTAGGTATTGTGCCTATCCCAGCTTCTGCCTCTGGTTTTTTGTGGTTTCAGCCATACATCCTCCCATTCCACACCTCCTCACGCCTTCTGCACATCCTTGTTACAATGGAAGCGGACCAGCAACACGAACTGCAATCAACACAACACCACAGGCAAAGGCAACAGGTTCATCATGAACCATGATGAGCGACAGGTCAGGAAATTACGGTCTTCTGCAGGGAAGAGCACACAAACGTGTGACAGGAGCAACATCACCTCCAAACGCTCTGCCCCCTCAGACCACCTGGTCAGTCGGGAATGACTTCTACCTTGAGCTGCAGAGGCACTAGAGAGACGTACTGGTACTAGACCTGGCCTGTGCTAGGGCACTGTAGGTTTGCTACCACACATTCAGTACAAATGAACTCAAAGAGCTGAATTATTCTCCCTTTAAAGCCAGTGTTTTGCACTTAAGCTCTACACCCACTGTGAGTACAGGAATTACATCCTACAGGAGTGCCAGGCACTGCCCTAGGCTTGCCCATGGCCATGCAGAGGCAGCCCTGACGCTGGAGACCTGCTGATTCCCAGCCTCCTATTTGGACTGGGAAACCTCCTGATCGCAGCTCTTTTTAAAGAAAACTTGTAATACTATAAACAAGTAACAAGTCCTCACAGACTACACAAAAGAAGCTAGAATGCCAGAGCTGCTAATACTAGGATACTAAACTACCACCTCCTTCAAGATTTACTACTATGCATAACGCCAGCTGTAGCAATAGCTTAAATCACCATCAGATGAGCTGTTGCCTGACAGTAAAAAGATTTCCTTTTCTCCTCATCCTCTTTAAAAACAAACTGTTAAGCTTTTGTATGCACCGTGAAGCAGGTGTAGAGACCAGATATCAACTGCACTAAAAGGCCAACTCACAGCAGTGAGAGAGCAGAGAAGTGACCAGCTTGTCCCGTGCTCGCCAGGGCCCATGCTCAGCTGCCGTCAGGGAACGTACCGTGTGCTGAGCCCCCCCGGCTACGCTGTGCAGCTCTGCTGCAGCCTCTGGGACACTGGTGCTCGAGGAGAGATAAAGCACAAACAAAATCTGGTACACAAAATAGAACACTGGCTCCCTCTCAGGCACGTAGACTTGCTGGAGCAAGCAACTTCACTGACTGGAAGTAATAGTAAACCGTGTAAACTCAGGAAGAGGAAAAACAATTATTAAAGTACTTGTGTTATTCTGTGGCTGGGTCCTACGACACTCAGTACAACCACACGCTGGGTGCCCGCTGACGTCTAGGAAAGCCCTTCTGATTATTTTTCTTCTTTTTGCATGCTAGTGCACCCTTATGTCACTCTTGGAAACACATCTCCTAAAACCCCCCCTTCCATGTTTCAAGACTCCTTCAGTTTATGGAGAGATCTCCAAATCAAGTATTTTATCTGCTATCCTGTGGCTGCGCGTCAGAGCAGACGGTGCATCTCCACCTGCTTAATCTTATCCCCATCTCGGCAAACTACCCCATCACCTCCAGTGCTCAGTGCACAGCCAGCTCTGCCTCAAAATCATTACACACCTTGTCATATCATCCCTTCTAAACCCGGATTAAAGCAAATCTTCTATTTCTCATACGTACATTAACAGTTGAGAGACAGGAGATTAACATGGTGACGCATCACTCTAAACCCAGATTAAAGCAAATCTTCTTCTATTTCTCATACGTACATTAACAGTTGAGAGACAGGAGATTAACATGGTGACGCATCACCAACGCTGACAAATTGCCCACATGCCTTTGACTAAGAAATCTGTCAACTTAATGTTCATCTCTTCGTAGCCCTGTGTGACTGGACAATTTGCCAAAGCAAAAAAACTCTAATAATCTTCACTCCGAATAACAACAGCAAATGTTTTTTCTACAAAAAAAAACCCTAAAAGGAGCTGTAGGTAATTCTTGTACACTCCTGGCATCTTCAAAGAGCCAATTAAAACTGGAATTTAAACACAAATAGTTTAAAACATTTTCTATTACATTCCTACAAAATGCTAAACAAAAATAGTGCATCAAAAGAAGGAAGTGATTAAGAACCTATTCTTAAAATAATTATTATTTTTAGTTCCCATGGGAGCAAAGCACAAGTCCAGCTTGAGATCATAAGTGAAACGACTTTAGCCTCAGTGGAGAGGAATCAGCATGAAGCTGACAACAATATTTAGACACTATTCCACATTCCAAAGTCAATGGAAAGTCAATTACTTTGAACAACTGACTGGGAGCAGCTGCCCAAGTGAAACTCTTCTTCAGAGTGTAAAGCAGCAAAGGAACAGCAAACCAAACGGAGAGACCCAGTGGCCGCTGCTCCTGCCCGCTCTCCCTATCTCCTTAGGCCACGCCAACTCCTACGAGAAGTGCAGAGCAACTGCCGCCGCGAGCCCGTCACAGCGTACCTGCGCGCACACATCCGGCACACGCGGCCCTCGCTCTTTCTGCAAGGGCTGCTGCAACGCCGCAGGGGTGCTGGTTCCAAAGAGCGGAGGAGGGGAGCGTGCCGAGGGGCGACCAGATACAGCGTGGTGCAAGCTGGGGCAGCTGCACCCACAGCCGCCCGCGGCGTGACCGCAGGGGTGCTGGTGCTGCACAGACGGCGCCCGAGGAGAGGGGCGCGGAGGGAACCGGCCTCGCGGCTGCATGCTGCACGGGTCCTTGCTGCCAGGCGCACAGCCTGTGCTCGGCAGGATGTGTCCGCTCACGTAAGCAATGCTGGATCCTGTCTTCATCGCTACCAGACAGAGATCGAACCAGAGGGTAACGTGCAATACATTCCAGCAGCTCAGTTCAGTCTCCCAGGTGCAAATCTCCACCTCCCAAAACCCAGTGTCCGCAAGTGATTTGATCACAGCAAACCAACTAAAAAAGCTTCAGCTGAACAGCCAACAGAGCCGGAATTCCCTTGGACACAGGGGTCCCGACGTGCTTTGGAGGGGTGGCAGTGTTTTCAGAAGGGAGGCTGCGGACAGTCGAGGCTGCCACGTCCATATGCAGCACTTTCCCCTGTAGTCCCAGCTGTGCCAATAGAGGCTGGAGTCCATTCCCAAGTTTTTTACAAACTTCTCCCAGCTCAGGAACTACCTCAGGGAACTGAAATCCAAGCAGACAGACAGATAACACAGCACTGAGCTGTCAGCCGTTTTTAAATTCCAGTGAAAGCAGCTGTGCTTTAAAAACAATTACAAACCTTCCAACCTCACAACATTTGCAGCCAAGCACAAGCAACAGATGTCCTGTGAGAGCGAGACCTGATGCCCTTAAACGTTGGACCAAATTTTTCTTCCATCAACTGAAAGTCATTAGGAAGAAGGTGTCTAACATGGTAGAAAACAGATTTCATCCTGCCAATCTCCATTTTTATGTGAAGTTTTGCCTCCAAGAATCTCATCATTTCCTTCTATGTTAAAGCCACCCAAAATAAGGCATTTCAGACACACACAAGCCTTTTTTCCCCCCCTCCCCCCCCTTAAAGACTACATCAAAGGATCTCCTTCCACTCAGCTAACCAACATTAGCCAGAAGAGCAGTTAATGAATGACCTTACAGGGTATTTTAGTGATGCTTTTGACTAAGTAGGGACAAGGCAAATGGGTGGCCTTCTTTAACAGGCACAGGGCATGCGAGATGCCATAAAACTGTTCAATCAATTAACTCAATGGAAAAACTCCTGCCAACATCAGTAGAAGCATGATCAAGCTCCGATCTAAGATGACTCACAACAGAAGAATCCCTGTTCTCCTCCCTTAAATCAGAGGATTTCAAGATAGACTTGGGTCAGCAAAACCCACATGACACAACCACCCTCCGGATTTGGACAGAAACGGACATTTATCAGTGTGCCAACCCAGAAGTTTGGGGTTTTTTTTCATTACTAATTAGCATTAAGAAACACCAGCATTTTAAGAAACACCAGTTTCTACAAAGAACACTGAAGGGGCAGAGGAGAGCTTTTAATATTAAGATACATTCCACCCCAAACAAGACGGCCTCAGAAGGCTGGTCTGGTCAGCTTACAAAACCTCCGTTTCATAGGTGGTTTGAACACGTTGATTAAATGGAACCTACGTAGTACAGTACAGTAGAACTCAGGACTTTTATCCATCTCAAATGCTGTATAAAATAGCGAAGATTTTGCTGTAAATACCTGTCTGAAGAATCCCCTTCCCCCCTTCAGAAAAGTAAGTTAGTTCATCCCCAGTACCATGGCATGTAAATGCTGCTGACCAAGGAATTTCAACTGGCAAGCTGTCTTGCAACTGTAGTGAATTAAATGCTGCAAAACCCAAAAGGTCTTCAAAATACCCTGTGAGGGGAGAAAAGCATGATCTCTTGCTTATCAGTAAGGGAACAGCGAGACAGAATTCCACGCCCATGGCTCCGAGGGGGGGAGTGACAGCACCAGAAGTGGGACACACTTCTTCTGACGTGCCGCGCCGTACTCTGCATGTAAAGCCCACATCTCCACCCTCTCATCTTTCACTTGTTTTCATGTGTGGGGACAAGGAAAATGTCTGGCTAGAGCTGGCTCCCTAGCTCAGAAGTTGTTTCTTTCCTTTGCACACAGACAGCACCTGCTCTAGATCCATCGTACGTGGAATTTAAACATAAACCCCTTGAGCGCCGCGGGTCAGATTCCACAGGCCTGACCCTGCAGCCCACATGTATGTTCTCAGCAAAGACACGCAGAGGCAGCGACGGCAGACCTCAGGACGCGCTCCTCACACAGACCAGAGTGCTCCGGTGTGCTACAGCTGCCAGCACTCCTTGCTAATCTGAATGTCGTTAATTCCAGGAAGGTGGTACAGAAATGGATTGCGTTTTCCTGTTTGTTAAAACAGATTCTCACTGCCTTTGTGCTAAAAGCCACCTTTTTTGCCTTCTTAGACCCTGCCTCAAAACCTATTTCCTCTATGTCTCTCCCCGCCCCGACTCCTTCCTGAACATGATCATGCAGTCTTTTGGGCAGATTAAGACTTTCCCTTTTATTGCAGGTGATGGAAATCAGGCTCTTAAATTTAGGGGAAAAAGTCTGATTTGAATACAGTAGCTAAATAGATTAGCTTTTTCAGCAGCACAGAAAAGGAACTTTTTTGGCTTCCCTCCAGCATTTTTTCTTTTGAAGGCGTGGTTTTAGTTTTTTTTTTAATCTCCAATCTGTTTTGTTGGGGAGTTGGGCCTGTCAGCTCAGCTCTCCAAGAGCCAAAACTAACAGTATTTCCCCAAACAAAGGTTCATTCAGAGAATCAGATTATATGCATTGTGTGCCGGAGCAAGGAGGCAAACACGTGAAACAAAAACATTTCCACACTGAGTAAATGTGTGTAGGACTTGCGAGGAGGCCACTTTTTAGCATCTTACTGTTCACACCTACAAAATTAATCCCTATTGCAGCCCGAGGACACTAATCCCAGGCAGAGCTCATTTGAACAGCAAGCATTAGGGCAGCTCCTTGTCTTGGTTACCTAGCTCACCCTCCTTACCCGAAACCCTCCCGCAGCAGCGGACTCCAGGTCTGTGGAAGGATATTGTGTTCCCCACACTCCACAAACAACAGTAGGGAGCTTTCTGCTGAAGTTACATCAGTTTAAAACAACCAAACCCTCCCCACCGTTGGACTCACCACCTTTTAAAAATAATACGTGGATCCTGAAGACAGATACTAGAATGATACACATTTATCCTCTATCATGAGCATTATAGATTAATAAGCGTTAGAAAAATAAAACCCACACAAATCCAAGTTATCCACTGCCAATTGGAACTGCAAGCCCTGCCAAGGAACATGTTATCTAGACTGATTTCACCCAGGAAGACTGAGGTGTGCACCTCCTGACAAGGAACAGAAAAGTGAAAGATCAGTCACACACCAGAAGCAAACATTCCTGCCCCAACGAATACACTACAAACCTTCTTCATTTACTTATTTTACAAATTGAACATTGCTTTAAGCAAAATCTGTATGTTTAACTTCATTTGCACATACGAAGGGTCACAGCATCCGGGCTCTTGCTCTGACACAGACCACGTCTGCACCGGCCCCAGTAAGCGCTGTGGCACACTGGGCACTACCCTGCTGACACCAGCACGTGCTCTGCCAAGGCAGCGTGCGGCAGCCTTCTCCCCAAAAAGCAAGACCTAAAAAACTCCCGTTTTGAGTATTATCACACCTACACCGACAGCTTTTCATACCACCATGACGTCAGCCAAGGAAAGGAGTTTTGCACCATAGTTTTAGCCAACCAGAGCATGCCCAAGATCTGCTCCGTGGAGAGGAAGGCTTGCGGACAGCTGGGAAGGACCACTGGAGAAACGCCTTCAACAGCAGTGGGCTTCATGCAAGTCATGAAAGGGTGAAGGAAGGGCTGAAACAGCAGAGGGCGAAGGGGAACATGAAGAACAGCACAAATATCAAGGAGACTGGGAGGCTACAGTGTCTTTCTGCCAGTGTCTATTTAAAGACCCAAAATATTTAGACAGTTCCTCATTTCCAGCCAGAAATCAAAGGATATTTCTAGAAATGTTTTTGCTTTTCAGAGTTTTGTACAACACTGACTCATTTTCCTACAGAACTGAAACAGCAAGAGAACATGAAAAGCTCTTTAACGTCACTAATATTTCAGTCCAAAGGCTGAGAAACAGGCCTCACCAGCACTGCGCACCACTAATGCTCGTGCAAAACCTCCCTTTGATCCCTGCTGTACTTCAGTTTGCCCACCTACAGAAGTCACATACTTTGTAACTTTATAAACATTAAAACTTCATAAAATGTCAACTGTCAAAAATCCAGACCTCCTTCACAGAACTACCAGAGACAGCATCATGAAAAAGCACACTGACAAACGGGACGTACACAACGCTTTGAGATCCGGGCTCAGGAGCAAGCACCACCACTTCCACGTGCCCAGACCCGAAAGGGCAGGATGGGGAGCAACTGCCCACAGCCACAAGGATGTCAGTGGCAAAGCCAGGACACAACACGAGCCGATCGTATCCCAGCCACATGCCCCATGCCAGAAATGCTACTACAAAGAGTAAATTTTAGTGAGGATTAGATTTATCTATTTCAATTTACACATTCTCAAGCCAAAGTTTCTATTCTGGTATAAAACACTAAGAGACACAATCTGTCACTTACTTCCCTGGCAGATTACATGTAGATGTGGAAAGCGTAAGAAGTGAAGATGATCACAGTTTCTAAGTTTTCAGTTAGAAAAAAAGAAATGTTCCTTTGAGGTATGAACTAGTGGTTCAAGCATGGGCTTGAACCTACACTGTGTACATTTAGCACGTATGCTACGCAGGGGAGTTCAAATCTCAGTTGGAAGTGAATGACGATGCATGTTTAAATCCTACATGAAAAGGAAAATTATGGTAGAATACACAATGACTATAAAAGACAGGAAGCATCTGAATTTATATGTAGGTATCTTTGTACATTTCTTATTATGAAAAGCCTTTGTTATAGGACCACAAGCAATCTGTCCATATCCTAAGCCTCCATGTACAGAACTGATGGTACACAGCACATGCTGAGTATTTAGCACTTGCACTGGTGGCTTCCCATGCTGTTTGATTTTCAGTGCTTGTACCATGATTTATAGATTATTACTGAACAAATTCCTCACATGCTTTTCTATGGTGCTTTCACCCTCGTTTTGCAGGCGGGAAACTGAGGCATAGATGTGAGATGACATGCCTGCATTGGCTTGCAATACTGTACTCAGTTCCC